AATTTTAGAATCATTTTTTGTTAGAAGCAGTGAACTATAGGTACTGTCTCGATAAGCAGAAGTACCTCCATGACAGCAAGGAGCAGGCTGAAGGTAAACCGAACCCAGTTTCGCATAGTTACAAAATGCCTGTGCTTTCCATCGCATGAGCAGCCGACATAAAAGTGGTGTCGTAAAATAGCAAGAGGATTACAACAATATATCAATATTAGACTGCTAAAAAGTTAGGAAGATGTATATAAACAGATCTGAAGATATTGGGCTTAGGTGTGATAGCGTCCAGGTCAACAATATGCAACCGGAGTATTTCTGAGCGTTAGCACAACTAAAAGCAAATTAAGCGCGTCAGAAAACCTTATAATTAAAATATTTAAACAATATTATTATTTTTAGATGCATTCACAGTGCTATAAAATTTGAGCGGTCAGCATTTCAACATACATTTACAGATTTCAAACTGAATGTTTGAAAAACTTCACTGCGGCGAATTTTGATTTTTAGCACTTGCACGTGATACGGTTTTTGACGGCCGTTTCAATTTAGAGATAAGGCTACAGCAGGAGAATTAGGGAGTGACAAGTGGTTACTACTTATTAAATGGAACCAGACTCAATAATTTTACGATAAAAAAAATTTATAAGCTTCACCATCCAATGTGAGAGTGCACTTTCTGTCTAATTTCGCAGAACGTTTAATGTTGTAGAAAATGAGTAAGTTCTACAAGTTTTAGGGTCTTTAGACAAAGCCTCTTATTAGCCATAGGTTTTAGTTTTATTGACAGCCCCTTATAGTGGCCTTATTTTGTGGAAATTGCTTCTAAAAAAAGACCTTGACGAAGCAAATTATTTAGCTGTTTACTAGGGGTTTTAAAAAGTAAGCATCAAATATAAAAAACTTTCTTTTTTATCTTATAAGATAAATGCATCATCAGACGATTATTTGGCTGTTTCCGTTGAGCGCGCAAAAATTAGGAAAACTTAACGCTTTGAGAACTTTTTTGGACTGTCACTTTACTACAGAGTCAATCCACGTCAAAATTATAGGATTTTAAAGCAAGCAAAAGTAGGGTACTCTATTAACTTACTCCAAGATGGTTTCTTGGAATGTAAACCTCGAATAAACAGGCGTCATCTGGACGAAAGCTGAAACCAGCAGTAATGTTTAATAGCCTTGTCAGTGGCTCTAAGTTTGATGCACGATGGGTTCACAAACCAAAGAGGGAGAAACCGCCATGTTGATCTTTTAGCATGAGGAGTTTGTTGTCCTTTTTTTTGGTAATTTTGACACTTAATTTAGTACCGGAACAATTAATGCTTCACAGAAAAATATTTTGAAGTTGTGACTTTACAGTGCGACTTTTTTACTTTTGGCTTATTTGTAAGCTGTTTTCTGATATAAGCGTTAACGTTGAATAATTACGAAAGAGCCACATTTTAGTGGCTAACGATCACACAGTTTCACAATTTTTCAAACTGCAGTGGCTACCGCATGGCAATAATTTTGAACTTCTTATATGATAATTTTTTATTTACGTAAATCCCAAGTACTACAATTAAATGAATACTGCAGAGGAGACAATACAGGTAATTACACAAGGGCCACTGAGTGTCGCTACAAGCGAACGAAAAGGTCAGAAAAATGGGGATAGCACGATAAATGATCTAATACAGTTCTGGAATATTCCATAACTAATAACTGTGTACTACGAAGTAATAAATGGACTCATAAAAGAGCTTCCAACAGTTGTCAATAAGAATAAACTTCAACTTTGAAGATTTTTCCGGGTAATTCTATAATTTATAATATGCTAGCGAGCGTCGAACCTACCAACCAAATAAATGCGATCAACCAAACAATTTGCCCGGCAAACAAAAGTGTAATGAACAGATAGTTAAACTGACAACTGCTGATTTATCCTCTAAGAATAATATTTTTGATTTTGTATAACTTTTTTATTTACTTTTTACAATAATTAGTTTGTTTTGAATCAGAAAACAGAATAAAAGGAAAGCAAAGAAGTTGTAAGACTCATCAATTTTACTATCGCCCTCATTCCAATTTTTATTCTTCTTATTGACCAAAGTTTGAACCTCCCTTTGAATTTCATGACATTATTAGTTGTGTCTTTAGACTACACTGTGGCTTACTCAAATTCTTAGTAAACCATCTTACTCGCGTAATTGGATCATCTGAAATTTCGCGGCAGGCAACTATCCATGATACTAAACATAAATTGTATTGAGATCTATTTCACGACATTGAACACAAGCCCATTAACCCATACAAAATTGCCGTACCAAACTTGAAATCAACTTGTAATGAAGAGACATACCAGCCACGCAGACCCTTAGCGAATCACAATGCAATAATAAGGGGTTATCACATAAGAAATGAAAATGTTTGACGCAAACAAATTAAGAACCAAAAGAACTATGAGGAACGTAACGAGGAATTATAATAACTAGAAACCATAAAGCTGCACGAGGACACGAAGAAAGGAACTTACAAAGACGAGAAAAATTATGAATACTGTCGCTAGCTTTGAGTACTGTTTCCAATGAAATGATGACCTATTATATCCACCTTGCAATTTTATGCATTTGAGTCTGGCAATAAACTGCTAGCACGGCCAACAAGAGTGTCCCCTTAGAGTCGTGTCTCATTCCTTTACAGTTTGGAGGGCCGTTTCCGGTACTGTCGCGACGCTTACCCTCGAATAGAAAAGAAGAACTGGTTAAGAATGCATGAGGCAATGATCCGCATTGATAATGAAGATTTGGTTTCAGCTTTTGTAAAAATTCGATTAAAGAAGCAGAAAACGTCAAGCTTTTTTGTTCATATTTTTGACAGAGAGCCGTCTAAAAGTAAAGGGCCAGCTAAGCATACTTTTTGTATTTGCAGCAAATTTAAATATGTAAACTAATTTCCAATAGGAGCGACCAAGAGTTCCAGCGAGTAGCGGACGCTTCAGACGATGGTTAAATAGTCTAAGTTTTTAGGTTGGCACCGGAACCTACACTGAATTTGTCTAGACCTAGCCGGGATTTCATTAGTAAAACTTTAATGTACACTTTGAGATTCAGACCAAAAATTTGCTGTCATCGAGTTTCGTAAGCGACAATTCTGCAACAAGAAACCGTAGCCCTGCCGCTGGTGCACCAATCCTGCAACTAGAAAATGGCTACAGGCTAGAGAAGCCTTTCCAGATTTACTAGCAAACCTTTTCTTTTCGAGCTCCAATTTTTGCCATCATTTTTCCTCTCAACAGTTTCCAGAAAAGGTCGATCAGTGCAACGAAATATTACTGTAAAAATGGAACTTCATTTATGACGTCTAGAAAATTGAGAATTATTTAAAACCAGAAAAGATAGTGTTGTAGTGTGGTGGAAAGTCGGCTAAGGATTTTGGTGTTTTTTACATCCCACAATTCAGACTTTGCGCTGAACTCAAATTTAATTTCTTATAAGGCTTCTTCAGCAGTGAAAAGTTAAGATTATTATTTTTTGGCTAAACTGACTTTTTAATGCTGTATCAAGACTGCATACATTCAATTACATTTAATTTAATGTTTTTCTCAACAAAATACTTTTCTGATTGAAAAATGGCATTTAGAAGAACAAAAATTTGATATGTGTAGTAAAAACTTCTGAATTTTGTAATAAACTTGTTGAAACACCAAATTGGACAACATTAATTGTTTTGAGCAATTACTTCTTGTACGCAGAAGAACACTGTCGATTCAGTGCTGATTTTTAAAGCTGTAATAGTGTTGCAAGAAACCGTAGAATTCAGAATTTAGAAAAATAAACACCTCTGTAAAACTGTCTTTCCTTAATGTTCTGGAATTCTGGATTGGTAAGACAAGTTGTTCACTTTTTGTGCATAAATTAAGATGGCAAAAAATTAATTTATTATGTTATGATATTATTTGGTATACGAAAGAAATATCTGCAAAGAAAAAAAAAAAAACAAAGTTTAATTTGGCTGTAATTTTGTAACAATACAAATCGATGAAAATCTGTGTACTTCTGTTTGTGCGTTTGCTCGTCCAACTATAGTGAAAGGTGGAAGAAAATTGTTTGGCATTAGTATTTGTTGCAGGTGACAACGAGGAGGACACTGAGAGAGAGAAAAGGAAAGGGTAAAGACGACGAACGTAAAAATGGGCAGCAAATCTCACAAAAAACGGGGGTAATGGCCGTTGACGAAAATTAGTGAGGGCCCTTCCTCCATCTGTGTGTCCCAGCCGAATTGGTGGTGTTAAGAAAACCAAAACCGAAACTAAATTGCAGTTCATTTAATATTTGTTATTTGCAATTGCAATCGTTATTTTTCTTTTGTTTATTTATCAGTATTGTGTTGTCCGAATGAACATTTATATATTGTATATAGAATTGTATATAGATTTCTATTATAAATATATTTGTCTTACTGCTACAAATGTTTGTAGCAAATTTTTTTTTCTTCCTTTGAATAGTGTACCATTGCTTTTAAATTGTGTTAATTATATTTGATGTCAATAGATTTCATCTTCTTTTCTTTGCAGTTTATCACTTATATGCTACAGCTTTCAATGCCAGTTTATTGCTTTACTTTTTTGGTTGTTTAAAAGTGTATAAAGCTGTAAAGAATTGAAAAAAGTGACTAGTATTACTGCTAATAAAGATAGATAAATAAAGATTCTTAAACCGTTGTTAATTGGGAACTGATAGACATTTATGATAGCCAGTTGAAATTCGTAAGCATAATTGTTCTTAAGAAATAGAAAAAAGTATATCAAACTGAAAACTAACTAAACCGAACAGCTGTTTTTTTGAGGGCCAAGCTAAATTTCATACAGAATTGGTGTGATTATAAAAAGTGTTTTTAGACAGTGGTTTTTTCAAAGTCAATTTTTTTAATCCTTTTTTTACTGTACTTAAAACTGAACAGTATCTTTGTAACATTGTTTTGGGTCTATTTTTATCTTAGTTTAGGTTAATAACTGTTACAGGCTTTATTTGAAATAAAATTTTGGCAGAAATAAAACTTTTGCAGTGGTTTTTTTTTTTTAAATACGTTTTTGCTGACTTCTGTTTTATTTTCTTCAGTTTCGTTGTTTCTGAAATTCTTCTCACAACCACTACAGTTGATAACTGTAGAAAAGAATTGTGCAAATACTGACGCTCGGCTAAACTGCGTGTTATATCTATACCGTTATCTTTAGAATGGCAACGACCTATCATTTTTAATTCTTATAAAATCGTTGATGTTGTTGTCCTCGCTGGAAACCTCAAAATTTGAGGTGAACTTTACGCATCGTAGTCTCTAAAACGGTTTAATGGCTCTTTTGTTTTCGTGTCAAAACTTCTTTTAACTAAATTAATGACAATTAAATTATTCAGCGGAAAAGTTTAGCGCTACAGTTGCTATAAGTGCAGAGAATTTGCAAGAAGTGTGTACTTAAGGATATTTTATATTGTAGAATGGCAACTTGCTGCCGACGAATTTCGATCTTTATCTCGTTATTGATGTTTACAGCTGCTGTAGCTTTGGTAATTGTCTCGTTGTTAACGGAATACTGGTTTGAAAGTCGACCAGTTAACGAGAAAGGAGCAGCAAGCAAATATAACTATGTTCATTCAGGCTTATTCAAAGGTTCTCGACAGTTGGACTGGGGTCTTGGACCTCGTTATAAAACTTTTACCGGTTAGTCTTTTTCTTTTTACTTTTCACTTTATTATTATTATTATTTTTTTTGGTTTGGTACGGTTACATTTTCACGACATTTTAGTCTAAATAATCTCACTGATTTTGTTTTTTTTTCCTTGTTTTGCATTTAATTTATCATTATTCTACGCCTGCTAAACAAAATGAAATACAGATCACATCAATGATTACCTTCGTATGTTTAATGAACCACCTTTGTTCTTTGATTTACAAATCACTGATGTGTGGAATAAAAAATAAGCCTTGTCTCACGTAGGTCTATTGAGCGAGATTGCATTCAAACTTGTCACACTATACTTTGGCTCTCCCTATCTTTCTAAGAAGCCCGAAATTAAATTAATATCTAATTTTTGAGCGGTTTCTAGTTCAGATTTATTTTTTTCAATTAGCTACTTTTTGTCCCGCAGAAAATCTTGTGTAAACGTCATAAAAATTTACACTTTTGCCAGCATAGGTTAGAATTTTTGCCACATTATTGACCTTCATAAACACTGATTAGGCTCTACTGGTTTTTTTAATAAGAAACAAATATTCAAAATGTTACTTTTTTTCCGGGAGAGGGACGAAAAAATATGCTGAATACATTGCAAATTAAAAGTTTATTTTCACAATGGAGTTAAATAGTGATGGCAACAACCAAAGCAACAACAGTGACAGTAGTTCACCTTTGATAGATGGTTGCTAAGTCATTTCCTGCTCCTTTTTTTTAATTTAACATTATTCATTTGTTAAAACGAATAAAATTAAACATTGTTTTTATCATGGTTTATCATGCCTTACATTTATAAACTTATTCTAAGTTTCGACATTTATTTAACAATGTAGCTAATTTAGAAAAAAATTTTCATCAGCCGACACTAAAAAAGCAAAACTGATTTTAGATCAAACAGAATTACAGAAATCTGCAAAAAATTTCTTCTTGTTTAGAAGGATTTGTTGACTTATTTAATTGTTTAATGTGGTTCTGAAAATATGTAGTAGGCCTCGGTCAGATTATTACGCTAAAAGCTGTCATAAAAGTATCAGAAACGTTGTGAATGCAAATGGTTTTTAAAAAAAGTAAAATTTTCAACACAACTCTAGCTGATTGTTTTGTTTCTGTGAAATGCTATTCATAAATGTTGAGAATTTTGTTTGATTTGGAAAATTTTAGCAGGGAAAAGCTTGAATATAAAATAAAACTACGGACCACTTGTTCTGCTAAGTATTTTGTCATTTTGTTAATTAATTGTGACAGAATAACTATTTTAAGCAATTTGCTTCACTTTTTTTCTACGCAAACCCCTCGGCTACTATGCCAAAATCAACAATATTAGGTTGAGATTTTTGCAGATTTTTAAACAATGGATTGCAGATCTGTATTTTTTTTTATAAATGTAATAAAGATTCCAGTACTCTGTTAAGAAGACTTGAAAAATTTGCTTCTTTTATATATTATCATATCATTAACACTGAATATGCAGTACTGTACTGTTTTGACAGGCTAGGTGTTGTGCTAGAAAAACTTCAAAAAATCGTAAGTTTTTTTTTTTGAGTTTTCAAAAACTGTCTATGTTCAACCTTGTAACTTGGTTCTATAAGCTAGAAATACTCCTGAAATTCCCCAGATCAGGCGAAGAAAACAACAAACATTGAGCAAAACTATAAGTATGTTCAGTAATGAAACAGTTTTACGGTTTTTTAGCCTTCAGAAGGTCAAAATGTCGTTCAAAAACTGAAGTTTCTATATTAAGGAATTCAGAAATACCAAGTAGAAGGAACTTTTTTTGAGCTTTAAATCATTTTTTAACAAACTTTAGCCATTCGCTGACGTTTTGTCCTTGCACGCCTTGGTAACAAAATCGTTCGTGTCTCTCTTTATGTACTTGTTTATTCAAGTTTTCAAATACTGCGGCAGAAGCTTTCTTTAGTGGGTGGGATAGATGCTTCATTTCCAAAAGTTTGCTATAAATCTAATACCTCAATGTTTAAACTTTAAATTTAAAAAAACTTAAAAAACAATTAAATGTGGTAAGAAATTGAAGTGAAATTAAGCAAAGTTGAAAGCAATTCTCTCCCTCAAGTTTACCATAAGATTTCCGACAAAAAATACAACTAAATCTTTGAAAAAAGCAGACAAACAATAAAGCTTAAAAAGACAAGAAAGATTAGGCTTTCTCGCTATTTGTAGTATCACTAGAAAAAAGTGAGCAGACTGAGAATTACAAAATAAGTGTTTTGTATTCCAAGTATGCGCTTCTTCCAAAGGTACAACGACACTCCTCTAAACTCAAAAAAACTAATTTAAATTTTCATTTTACAAACTACTGAAGAGGCAGTCTTCTTTACCTAATCAATAGTGAAAGAATAAAGTCAATGTTTTAGACAGGTACTAGCTTACTGTTGTCTGAACATAGAGGCTCCTTCCAACCAAAACTTCAAAGGTTTTGATAATAAATGACAGTTTTACTGTTTAAAAACAAGCCTGTTCGTTGCTAAAGACCGTTCTCGGAAGATCGGTTCATAATGCTGACCTGTCTGTTACCACTCTCGTCAGTTTCCCACCTACGACCCTTCGCAACAAAAAACAAACTTCCGTTCCAGAAAAATCCTCAGTTCCGTATCCGAGTTTATTTTCAGATTATAAGATTAGTGGCTTCTTCCCAGACAAATCAGTTATATTTTTCCTCCTTATCTGATGATGATCACCAAAATATTTACAAGTTTAACATCTAAAAGTTTAATCCTTCTTATAGAAATCACACGGCATGCAAGCATTAACCTAAACATTTATATTTTGTTTGATGATCCTTTCACCAGTCCATCATCAGTTTTCCCTGCCACTTCTTACATCACAAAACTTCCAAAACACCTAAATGTCACTGACTCTTCCTTACTTTTTTTTCCCCTTCTATGTAATTTGAAAATAACAAAAACAATTTTACGAATTACAGTTTGAAAGCATTTACTACATTCCTTTCCCCCTGTCGTTTCTTTAAAATAAAAAAGAGACACTTAACGCCTTCCTGTTCTTTCAATAAGCATTAGCATGCTGCACCTGAAATTAAAAGAAGTTAAGCTCAGACAGGGCCAACACGCCTTCCTGATGCTTCCAGAAGCCTCTTTAGCATATAAATTTCAAGCACAAAAGAGCCATTAATGTTTCAAATGTTGGTCATTACACAGTTTAGAATCGAGTTGCAAAAACTTATCTGAAGTGAGGCATTTTCACTTTTGATCTTTTCAATCACAACACATAATCGGAAATTTTATGTGTCAAATGACCTCTGTCACCGTTTATTTCAAGCAACAAAATCCAGAAAAAATTTTTTTAAAACACTTAAAGTTATTTTGGAACTACAGTTCTTTATTTATTTTTTATCTTCCTAACAAAAAAAAAAAATGAAATAAAAAAATCAAAATAATTTTTTTTAAATTAATTGCATTAAACCCTAAACGTCTGGAATTTTGTTTATCTTCCAGCAAATAATCGTTTGTATAGCAGTAGGTAAAAAGAAACGAGTGTTATTCTTGGTAACAGCAGTAAACCAACACATTTTCATATTCCAATGCTGTACTAATACAATATCAAGAAATCTTACTAAAAAGACTTCTTTCAGTTTATGCTGAAGTCCATGAAGGTATTAACTTTTTCGCGCGAGTCCCATGGATATTTATCCTCTTCTTCATAGCACTTGGTTTATTGTGGAATGTTATCGGTGTTATCATATCAATCGTGAACACTGCCGTTAAAGAAAATGACACAATTGCCGGACCAATCGGAATTTACTTCTGGAGCATTCTCGCATGTACTGTTTGATTGTCAACTTATTCATACTTGCCTTTTATACACTCACTTCCTAAACATTATGCAATAGCTGCTTCCCAACCTCGTCAATCATTGAAACACTATAACATTAGTTAAAGTCAATCTCTCTCCAGACGGTTATTTAGTTTTAAAAGAAGCTCTTGTGGGCTTTAGCTAGCCGTTTCACTTTACATAACAACGCAGCAGCTTAGTACTGGAAAGATGAGCTCATCGACTTAATCATTGGCTGCAGTTTATAAAGAAAAGCTGCTATATACGATTACCTGACACCTCTTAGAAGAATAAATTACTCTTTGGTGCTAAATTTACCTTTACTGCACCAATTTTCATAAGACGATTATAAGACAAGAATTATTGCTAAAGAATACCCAGCTCAAGATGGTAATTCAACAAGATGTAATTAAGCGCACGAGAATTGATTTATTTTTTGGACAAGTTTCCCTACTGCTTTTCCATCACCTTACATTCGATAAACATAAATTTATTGAAGTATACCGGTTTTACGCACCTTCTTTTTCTTCTTCTTCTTCTTTTCTGTCCTCAGAGTCACTTATACCGTTTACTGCACTCTAAAGCTGCTTGAAATTGTCCTTCAATTTCCCCGTCGTTATCTTCCTACTGTTCTTTTCTGGCGTATCTCATTTAGAACTCTAAATTACCGACTTGACTTTAGAAAAAAGCATTTTACCACTATGAAATGGAAAATATAGATAAAATTTAATCATCTTTAAGTCTTTAGGCCTTTCGTTTCAGTAATCTCTTATGGATCAGCACTAATAATATTTCTCATCGAGTACGCCACTTCAATAAAGCTCAACGTTTTACTGAAGGACCAAGCCGATGGAGGATTCTCCAGCAATAATCAGACATAGTTAGTTATCACAACTATTAAAAATAATGTCCATTCCTCATAAATTTCATCTCAGCAATTTACTACACAGTGAAACAAACAAAATGCTTTTTTCTCTTCCCTCCAAATAATCTCTATATCTTTAAATATTTTCAGTTTAAGCTTTTCATTCTACTTGATGGCGACTGCAATGGTGTTACTATTGATACCCAGTGCTCTTATGTTTTCAACAGCCGAGCCACGGCACAATCGTAACAACGACAAACGACTTTCCATCGACAATACTGCATTTTTGTATTAAATTTATCACGGGTTTTATTTATTACTTTGTGGAGAAAAAGCTATCATTCTCAATTTTATAGATTTGGTAAAATTGCGCATTAATAGTTCTGTATAGTAGACGGTTACAAAATGCATTCTTAAAGCAGAAAAATATCAAACAGTATTCTTCCAGCGCAACTGCTCCAGTAAAATTTAGTGTTCAGTTGTGTTTAATAAACAGCCCATTTATGGCAGCATCTTGATGTACAGAAGTGCAAAAAATGTTTACTCTCTGAAATTAACACCTGAATGACGCCTGAAATAAATACCCAACTCAAATTGTGAAATTAAATAAACTTCTGAATTGCTTCAATATGCTTTTATATCATTGTGAATTTGGCGTAATTAAATGCCAGTAATATGACGGTGTCACTCAGGAGACAATTTGGAAACCACTCAGCTAACAAGTAAAATAAGGTCCAGAAATGTTTCGCATTATAAACGATGTAAGTTTAAAAAAATATCAAATAAAATTGAAGAAAAAATAACGTATTTTGGCAACATCTCGATAAAATCAACAAATAATTAATGACACTTTTGGTTTTCATGTCAGCTTAGCTTTTTTGTTTAAAACTTCCCTTAAAAGTCTAGTTTTATAGTGAGAAAAATTTTTGTGCTTTATAATAAACAGAATTGTTAATAAAAAGTAAAAAAAATTTTAAGATTAATTGTTAATTAGAAAATTGTCTTGAAAAAAGAAGTGTTGATAATTTTGTTGAACTTTTCCGCTATAAAACATAATTATCTCATTAAAATCCAAGGTGAATAAGTGAAGAAAGAAAGTGAAGCAGAATTGTTCTCAAATTTCACTTTAAAATTACTGACCAAAAAGTCCTACGTTCCTTCCTACTTTTTCTTTGTAAAGAAATTTCTGATTCAATAGGCTTTAAACATAACGAAAGAAAACATATTAAAAGGCGTACTGACATTTGGTAACTTTCAGCGACTGCAATCAAGCTATGAGGATCAAACTTGGCAGTTTTCTTCAATAAAGCAAGCTTTTAAGCTTTTAATTTCCAAATCTACTTCTTATATAATGTTTCAGTCTTTAACGAAAGGACTAGCACCAGTGTCTTATCCTCTTTTAACTTATTTCCTCCTCCCATGCTACCGACTTCCATTGACAAAAAAATTAATTAATTCACAACAATCAAAGTAACCAATAAAATCCTCTGCAGTAACCTCCAAAAAGAATGACTGACAGAGACAATTCGGCTAAAAAATACGAATAAGAAAAAAAAAACAAGAGAAAAAGTTGATACATATAGCCAAGTTGCAAAAAAAATTAATTCTTAAATAATACATTTTTTTTTTATTGCTGTTGTTGTTGTCGTACTCTGAGTATTTAATGATATGCTGATAAAATCTCATCTTCTAATTATTTATTGAAATGAAAAATTTTTTGTTTTCTAGTTTTTTACTTTCTATAATTTCTTTCCTGAAACCTACAAAAGAAAAAAAAGTGATTCCTACATCTCAACATTTTGTGCAAACTTCCTCTTATTTAATAAAAAGGCAAATCTACGTACCTTTAAATATTTGTAGCGCGCAGCAAAGAAATATCCACTTGAGGTACGATATGCAGAGAAGAAGTAGAGTTGAAAATTGCGTTTTCCACTTGAGACTGAAGAAAAATACAGGCAGTTGAAACAAAGAAAACTAAACTGTTAAAAGTGATGGTTTCAAGTCACCATTAAGACGTTAAGAAGTAGCAGTATGCATCCAGTTTAGCATAAAATATTTCCTTACCTGCAACAGAGAAACGTATAAACGCAGTCAGGATTCATACCTAATTGCAGTTACCAACCGGCTAATGGCACAGCAAACACTAACCGATAACAGTCATCGGCGTCACGTTGATTGTATATTGAGCGCCATATTGGTGCTTGGACATAACGGATCGGTTCGCGCGCAGTGCTATTCCATTCTTTTTTAAGAAAGTGTACGTTTGAAACCAACACTTCATTAGATGATCGGAAGTTGAACTGTTGTTGCAGTGTCACTGGTGGCAGAATCTTCATTTGTTACATCTGGTGTTCTTAGCAGTAGTGGATACAAATGGTAGTTTTTTCCTCAGTTAACTGCAGTTTAGCTTTTTTTTTTTTTTTTTTT